CCGCGGTGAAAAACGGGAACCCTGATAAGATTGCATCCGACCGAAGGAAGGGGAAATGCCGTGATATATGTACTTTGTTCACTTGAAGTCACTTGATTAATTATTATGAGAGAATTGTTGATAAAATTATCATTCCCAACGTTTTTTGGTTCGACAAGCACGATTATCTCGAAATAGACAGATGTCATAGGAATTTCCATTCACCATCGCGTTTCATATTGCAAAAGTCTCTTTAGCCGACAACAATGAAAAGATTCTTTCTGGGTCGCAACGAAGGAAGCGACATCATTTAAAGTAAAACGCGATATCTGACAAATTTATTAAAATATCTACGTAATATTGATGTATGTCGACTGCCATGGTACTTGTCGAATATGTCACATATGTTACACGTATATATTTTCTATACAACTAAAGCGATATACACCGAAAATAAAATTCTTCTATTGTATGTTGCGAATAAAATGTTTCGCGCGAATTTTCTTTCTACAAATTTTATCACTCGACCGTGAATGTTGCCGTTTTTAACCGGAGGTGAATAGGAGGAAACGCACCAGACATTGCCAACAGACTGGGCCAAACTATTTTGGAAACGTCGTTTCGATGCTTTTTAGCTCTGTTTGAATAATGACATACGACAAGATAAAAAAGCAAGAGAAAACGCATCTTTCCAAATTCTACGTTTTAAAGAAATATTAGGGAAAGATAATAGCGTTTCACACATAAATATGTGCATGGTAATGCATAATAAATCACTAAACAACGATGATTTAAATGTAACTCATTAAAATGATTAATATAAAAGAGATTAATATAAAATTTGAATATGCAACATATAAACTTGCTGGAATTTGTTTAGAAAGATTGAATATCGAGACACCCAACTAAACGATTAAAAATTTGTCTATGAACTATCACAATTGTTATATAAATATTGTATGTGTGTTTACACATAGAGTTATGGTGAAATAGTTTCAGCTTCCATTCACAATAAAAATGCAAGTAGCAACTACTATTGTATTGTACGTTCGAAGAACTTTATATAGAATAATGGAATCGAGAAAGACGTGGAAGATGAAATGATGAAAAGAAACTACAAAATGCGTTTGAAAGTCATCTTGCCTTTTGTTCATCATAATTGACTTGATTCTTCTTATATCTATTTCCTGTGCCAAAAATATCTCGCTGCAATTTTTTTAATTTTTTTCTTCAAGGTCTCGATTCATATGACGATATCGAATTTTTATGCGAGAAAAGATTTAATTTTTAACTAACCCCCTCTTTCTCTATCTATCTATTTATCTGTCTTTCTTTTTTTTTTTAGAGAGAAAATAGTTAATTTATAATATTAAATATTCTCTATAAAGATATATGTTGTCTTGAAATGATAGAATAATTTAATTGTTAATATTTTTATATTATCCTTATTTATAAATAAATACTAAATCGGATTAAAATAATACAATAATAAAAATTGGAGATATAAAACTCCTTTTATAAATTCTATCTATCTAATGTATTGTCTGTGTTTGATGCACGAAATAAAAATGTAAAATATAAAAACGTAGGTAATAAATAAATTTTATGTAAAACATTGATTATATAGTTATATTAACAATTTTTACATTTCTACATTCAAGTCTCCTATATTCTTTTAATCTAGTAATTTCGTCTTTATTCTGTTCTCAGTTAAATTTAATCATGACCTGGACAGATAATAATTTCAAAAATAAAACGAATGTCATACGTTATAACGGATAATCGATTTAATACTATTAATATAAAAGCAGGTAGATTTTATAAAATAAAATTTTGTATTTCTATATATTGTGTATATTAAGCTTGTGGGCAGAATTGTCTCTTAAAAATATGCGTGAATTATTAAGAACTATTTTTTATGAAAATTATAAAAAGCTTTACGTTCATTTCTTACCAAGTGTGATACAGAAGCATCTTCATTTCGGACTTTCAACGCTTCCACAAATAATACCTCAACAGTTTATACACCTTCGTGAAAGCATTTGAAATACAGAAAACAGTTAGTGTCGCAAGAATGGAGACGCTATTTTGTGCAACAGTCGAGAAAGAGAGTATCCACGGCTGGATGCACTTATTTTATGTGTGGTTACTGCCTGATCTTCTTTTGCTTTAACAACATTTTTCAGTGTCACAAAGTGTGTCAGGCAAAGTGAGTACCATTTCATTCAAGCTGAGATACACCTTCAAAAAATAACTTTACACTTTAGTATTATGCGCGAAAATTTCATTCAAATTTGGGAGAAAAATGTACACACTTAATCCGAATGTAAAGACTCGACTACTTAAAACTGATGTGCTTGCTCGGGTAATATCGAATTTGTTTATATGTTTACTTTATTATTTTACTGACAAATATTCAACAATAAGATATAACTATCTATATTACCAAGAAAAATATTTTGAACTCTGCACCACAAACTCATAAAAGGTATGATAACCTTACGATAAGTAAAACTGATCGAAAATTTAGAATATCATGGTTAATGAGGCTCAATGAGAGACGGCGTAAAATCCAAAACGACGAGCTTCTCATATGATCAATATTAATGTCAATATGCATTTTTTATGAATTTCTCTCACAACATACATACGTCTTTATAAATTTTCATGTCGATATATATAAATATTCTAACGTTATATTACCAATAGGCAATATAATAATAGAATGTTATATAAAATATTAAAATTATTTTCAAATATAATACATTATCATAAAATTATTACAATATTAAATATTGTAATATATAACTGACAGATAATATAACTGACTGATCAATTCTAAAACAATCTGTATAAAAAGCTCTTTCATTTTACAACAAAATATTTATTCAATTCACGTCACTTTAAATCAAGCAATAAAAAATTAAAGTATCAAAATAAGTATGGATAGATAGACTGTGAAATATTAATCAATATGTTATAAAAATTAATGTAATTAATAATCATTAACCCGTTTTTCTTAAAACAAAAATTGATTAAAACATACTATGTATAATTGTAAAATATTTTCTGTCTTTCTTTTATTTATGCTTACGTATATGCATCAAAAAATTCTCTGATAATAATTGACAATTGCTTTCTTGTATCAGTTCGTATTTTAACGACTTTCACTTATTTCTATAAACATCGATTTATTTTTTATTCTACCACATAAACTATAAAGAAAATAAAACCTTTATGTTTCAGGAATGTGTTTAGCATTTTTTTATTTTATTCCTATATTTCTTCTTCATTATTTGTCACTATTTATCTATACATTAAATTCAAAACATTTTTTAATTAATTATAATGCATTTAATACAGAGAAAAAAATAATATGCATCATATTCCTCCATGGTGTTCTCATTTTTTTGAAATTTTTTCTTTGAAAAAAAAAACGTATAAAGAGTAAAATATTCAAGAGTAAAATATTTTTATCAGATAAAAAATAATTTTTTTTTGCAAAAATTATTCTAACTTTTTTTCAAGCATAATTGTAAAATATTTTTTATCTTTTTTTTTTCATTTATACTAACAAATTTAAATTTTCTATAAATTTTAAACAATTTGTGTAATCTTTATTCTGTTGTTTAATATAGTATGAATCAATAATATGTCAGTTTTTTTCTAATTTTCTTAACTGTAAGCAATTTTATATGTGCGATGAATAAAAGATATATTTATTATAGGATTAAATATTTGCGCTAATTTGTGTTATCATACATTTCAAGACAATGGATTTGTGATCTGCACTATATATAATACAGATTCATACATTACTTCAGATTAAAATAAAAATTGATTGACACTCACCAATACGATGCGCAGCAGTGGAGTAATTATGCTGTTACTGTGTTGGTCTGCAAAATACAAAAAATAAAATTCAAATTTTATAATAACATTCAAAGTAATATATATTAAAAATAACATAATAATGCATCATTATAAAATAATATAATATAGTTAGTATAATTATTATTTATATAAAATAATAAAATAATATATGTTTATAAAGATAATTATTACGCAATTAGAATTTTTCTCTCTCATTTATTCATTTAACGATCGTCAATTTAACAAAATAGTTGTATAATTTCCGAAGAAATTATTGTGTAGAAGGTTTTATAAAAATGTATAAGCCAAAATCTTTTTCTTATTCAAACAATTCAAATTTATTGAAATAAACGATTAATTTCGCAGGTGTGACAAATAATGTAGATATAAGTAATAAATTACCTCACGGTTGCTCCGCCGTCGCCAGATACCTCCCAGGCCTCCTCCTCCCCTCAGATCCCTTCGTTGCATTCATATAACACTTATTCACGAAGACAAGGCACTTTATACGATAATCCCGACCAGTAACTGCAATCACATGAAATAAACAAAATTATATTAATCGATATACGTCCCACGATTTTTCGTCAATTAGAATTAGATGATTCGAATCGATTCGTGTAATATTCCGCGCTTTCAGTTTGAAAGAGAACGACAATGTGCGTATTTAACGCGCGACGCAAGACACATACCTACACTCAATTCCGAGCGACGAGAAATATATATCGCAATGAAAGAATACCGCGGGCAGGTATCGGACGAGAGAGAAGGCCTGCACGGTTGATTCTTTAACGCGCCACTTTAACGAGCCCACGAAACGAGGCGCGAAACGCAGAGCGATAACGATAATAATCCATCGTCGAGATTGATTCGCGGAACCAGCAGCTCGGCGGGCGTTTATTTCATAAGCGCGTAGTAAATATTTTGCGACGCGCGAAGAAACGGCTCGGCTAGCGCGCGGCGCGGCGTGACGCGGCGGCGGTGCTCGCTCACCCCCTCACCCCAGCCCAGCGCGCGTTACGTACACAAGGTCGCCCGCGACCTACGACTCACTCGTTATAGGGCAACCGACGCGAACGGCTCCCGGCTCCGCGCGTATCGTCTCATTATCACTCGAGACGCGCTCGCGATAAGATACCTACCGGCGACCGCGAACGTTCTCGCGTTCACTCAAGCGTCACGTAATCAACACATTATCCACCCGTGCGCTCGCCTAATCCTCTCGCAAGCGTGTCGCGGCGACGCGATCGTTTCTCGAGACAGGTATATATCTCGCGCGCGATTCGCACACGAGGGTATATGTAATTGTAGATTGCGATAATCGTGGACGACGACCGTTTCTTCAAACAGCGACGCTGTTATTCGGGTATAGATGTGTACATCCTACCTTGCTCCGTTGCTCGGTCTCGTCACTCTCGTCTCTTCTCACTCTCGTGTCGACGATGTTCGGCCATCTTCGGATCAAAAGTACGAAGTGACGCGGAGAGCACCGAATCGAGCGATTCAAAAAGAAAGCCTTCTTTTTGAATCGCTCGCTGCGGTGCTCTGCGCGTCACTTCATATTACTTTCGATCCGAAAATGGCCGAACATCGTCGACACGAAATTGACGAGACTAACGTGAGCCACGAAACGCAAGGTATGTACATATCTGTATCCGAATAACAGCGTCGCTGTTTGGAGAGATAAAATATACAGATTGTACACTTTCGGGAGTTATAAACGTTTCGCATCGCGCGATATCGAGTTTCTATTACCCAGAGACGAAACATCGCGTTTTAATTGTATACATACACTACTACATATACGTAGTCGCTGAATCGCGCGGCGTCAACCGCGTGAATTGCCGCGGTAGTATAACTTACTCCATTTGGATTTTTTTCTAGCGACGGCTTAACGGAACGTGTCGCTGAGTGGGTGAGTGGGTCGGCACGTCGGTCGGCACTCGTTGGCACGCGATTAATTAGCAAATTACAGTCGCGATTAATCCCGTGTTGTAACATATCAACCGCGTAGCGTAAATTCGTAGCGCGTCTCGGATCGATACGCTGTGAGATTCATTCGTTTTGTATATCCATCGCGCGCGAGCCCGCGAGCGGCCGACAAAGCTGACATAACCGTGTTTTCGCGAGTGCGTGACGTATGAGTGCCGAGACTGCCGAGCAAGCGACAACTCGGAGGAGCCTGAGAGGAGGAAGCGGCTTAGGAAGCATCGGGCGACAGCGGAGCATCCACGGGGTAAGCATTTGAATATTATTTCCCGGGTAAAAGGTATTTATATATAACTGTTTATAGTTATATTCGAAACTTGGATTACTTGTGTAAAAGCTAAAGAATTTTGCGTTTATACGTATATATTAAATAAAGTTTCATGAAAATATACACTTGGAGAAAAAACTTTCTCGAAAATTGTGCGTATTGCTCTTAAGTTGAAAAATGAATAAAAATTTCGATGCACGCGCGAGTAATAATTATTTCCTAAAATGTTAATTATTTTTGGCACTGCTGTAATTTGGATATATTATTTGTGTTTTACAGATCAACCAGGTTACAACGTAGTTACAACTCCGCTGCTGCGCATCGTATCGGTGAGTCAAATTATCTTTTATTTTAAGTCGAGATAAAATAAAACTGTAAAAGAATATCAAAGATAGGTTGTTATAGACAGATAATATTCTATAGATCTATTATACAAGGTGAATCACTAAAAATGTTAATACTTTTGAAACTGAACGAGATAGGAAAATCTTATTTTTCAGCGACTGTTTGATATCGAAGCGGATATCGTATTACGAAGTTCATTTTTTCATCCGTTTTGATACCAAATAGTCGTTGGAAAATAAGAATTTCATATCTCGTCCAGTTTCAGAAATATTAGCATGTAACACCTTGAGTGATTCACCCTTCTTAAGATGAATTGGTTAGAACAAATTACAATTATTAGAGTAAACCGATATTTAATCCTGGAAACGTTCGAACATTTCGCCGATTTATTACGTACGGCGGAAGCACAGTAATGAGCTCATAAAATAGAGCTCACTGTATCGACGCATTATTTATTAGCACTGTTTGGTATCTTGCGGTACAACAGAATAATTACGAGACACACCAATTACGTGAGATCGATACGGAATTAAACACACGGGCATATAAACGAAAAAATGGGAAAGGTCTCACAGATAGAATAAGATAAAGAAAAATATCTAAATAATAGTAATACTCACAAAAAATAGTGATTTTCAAATCTAATAAAAATAGTATTTTTTATTCTTTTTGCTAAGCGCTCTATATGCAGATAAAATGGTCAGAAAACGCAATTAAAAGAGATCATGAAGATATGACACAATAATGATGTTATTTGATCAATTTTTAACATCAAATATATTATAAATAATTAAATTTGCCAGTTTACTTATTGCTCACAAATAAATAGTTAAAAATAAAGAAAAAGAGAGATAAAATGAAATTGTAACGAAGAAAATAATTATAATAAAAATGAATGCTTTATATAATATTTTTAGAATATAAAGCTTTTATTTAAGTTTTTTCACAGTGTTCATATTCGTGGACAGAGAGAAAAAAAGATGCTTTATGTATTTATATAAAATAAAGTAAATTAATATTTATTCAAAATATGATAGGTAAAAATTGGTAATATTTAGAATATTTACAATTCAAAATATCTTTAGGAAAAGTAAATTTTGAATTGCAGACGATCTTTCAGAATTGTCATTCGGTGAATTCGTTGCAACTTTGCTAATACAATTTCGTTCGTCGCATCTTCTATTATGAGTAGATTTTTGTGCATTTTGAAGCAGCGTATATTTCATTGAATATCATTAAAAAATACAGCTTGACACAAAGAGCGAAATTTTCTCCAGTACGCATTTCCGGCATTAGAAACATGTTTAAAGTTTCTTTTCAAGTATATACTAAATAATCTCGTAAAACCTAAAACTTTTTTGTTAGAGTATTTGGAATATTAAAATATTTAGACTATAATTTAAAAATTTTTATATTTTTTTTCGAAAAGTTTGTTGTGTACATATAATATTCAAATTATTAAATTCTCCGTGAACTTGTTCCATTGTTCTTCGCTTTTCAATATTAAAAATAAATCTCTTTCCTGTTATAAATAAAAATAATACGACCACGAATAAATTAAATATATTGCTATCTTGTCGATCTCTCAGCCCGCACATTCGTATCGCATTCCCGTACGAGTTAACGAAATCCCTATATCCGCGCGAACGACCTACCCCACAGTCGGCTTGCGGCTTGAATCTGGCTTGACGTCAAGGGAGAAACAAGAGGGGGGAGAAAGGGAGAGACCAGACTCTGCGCACTCGAGTAGAACTGGATCGTATGGAAAATCTTAATTTGACATCCGCACACGAGCACCTTGAGTCTCCGCGGGTCTTTGCCCTGCTTCCGTCCCTTCTTTCCTCCTCGAGCGGCTTACTATGCCATACAACCGCCCCCATCGACCTTCCCTCGCACCACCTCGCGTCTCTCCCACCTGCCGCATCCACCCGCACCCCCATCAGGAACGGAGCAGCTCCTCTGGCAGTCGGTTGTCGGCTTCTCTCGGCTAGGGACATGCGCAGCGACCCGCGGAACGACAGGTGCGCGCCGCGCCGACGACCGCGAATCGCTTAGTTTCGGGTAAGCGTACGATTCGCCTCTGCCGCTCTGTCCTCGCTTCGAGACGAGCCGACCCGCCAGTCGCTCGCGACTCTGTCTTTGATTCGGTTGTTCGCTCCCGCTAATCTCGTCATCAACGTTTTTCTTCTGGCTCCCCTTACGAAATCATCGGTAACCGGAAGAGAGATCGTCCGTCGGTGTCGATCGCGGATCCTCTCACCGTGGAGAGGATCATCCGCTAGATCTCATCGGCTGTCAACGCCCTGGAACAGCGGAAGACCCATCAGTTTATCGAGCGCACGTGTTCTTCTCTTCGCTTTTCTTCCTATCAGTCTTCCTTTTTACGGAGAATCTCCCTCATCGACAGACAATTTCCCTGTCAGAAGTGCTGAACGTGTTTATCCAGTTTTTTCACCTTTTTCGAACATTCGCTCCTTATTTTCATTCCGATCGCCAATTTCGATAAGACGCGAGTTTCTTCTTACGATCGCCGAATCCCGGGGTGCCGGTAAGAGTATATATCTCGCTGATCGTGCTGATGAAACAGTGAGTTCCCGCCGATTTCGCTGATTCGACGGTGATTGTGGATTACTGTGATTATCTTGGTGAACGCGCACGAGTGCTTTTGATGAATGTGATGCTCTAGGAAAGTTTTAGACACGTCGGCGTACCGACATCCCAGGTGGATCCCTCTCGATCATGCACCGACGACAGGATCTCTTCCGCATAAGTGTGGGAATGCGAGCGGCCGCGGCGGTCGTCTTCCTGTTTCTCGGCGGATTCGTCCTCCTACGCGGAGCCGAGGGTGAGTCAGCGACCTAAATTTCTCCCTCGAGATCGGTCCGCAAATAAATCCGGGATTATCGCTAAGAGTTCCATCTACACATGTGATGCATCATATGCGTCTGACAGGTGCTTGTCTAAACAATTTGAGCGAACGTGCTTGAATACCGTGATATATAAACGTGCAATCTAATGTACTGAGAATGAAGAGAACGTAAAAAAAAAAACTCGAGAGAGAAACTTGTTCGATATTGAGTTCTCGCTTCACTTTTATTACTATATAAAATAAAGATCGTGCCCTTTAAAAATTGCGATAAAACAATTACTACCGCACTCGATGTGAAAAACGAGGCATCTGCCACAATATAAAAATTAACTTTATCGTAAAATCTACTTAACTTGTTATCTTGAAGTTATTCTATCATCCATAAATAAACGGATGTAAATGGCTATGATGCTGTTCGCGGAGCAGAGTTTTCTTGGTAGCGCTTAGTCACTTTTAGCGACACAGTTTCGACCACTGAAGGCTGCTGTATGCATATACTCACACGAATATTTTGACATGTAATAATAATAAAGTAATATAGCGCCGAAAAAAAACAGGGAACGGAATCAAATTATATAACATTACGTATAAATAATAAGATATTTCATATATAGATATCTTATATTTTATATGAAATTTTTGTTCGCGATGTAATTTTTTATTACCTTATTTTCGTAATAATTCTTTTTAATAGTGATTCCAATGAGACGATCGATCACAAAATCTTAACTTGTTTAAAAATATATTTTGTTATTACATGTCTTTGTATTACAAATTCTCAAATAAATATGTTTACGACTCCAGTAGAAAGCAAAAATAGAAATAACAATTTATGTATGGCGCCAAAATTATTCGCGAAAATGACCGCAGAAATATAAGAAAATGTACAGCAGCGTCAGACTTCTTTATGCTTGTCTGAAGAGTTGAAAAGCTCGGCGGAAGGAATCCGGCCGACGGGTTGGGAAAACAATAATGCTCAGCGACCAGAAATTCAGAGAAAAATGCTTTTATGTACGCGAGTATAATTTCCCCCGTGGAAAAGCAACGTCCGGCTGTCCCACCTGCGATTCAGCGAAACGAGATTTTAATGTTGCACGAACGTGGCGAACATTCGCGCGCGTCCCTGCTGCAACTCCTAAGCGTGAGCCGTACGAGGACGGGGGCCTCGCGTGTTCAAGGCCGCGGAATAATAGCCGCCGCCCGTCGCGCACAGCCCCCGGATGTGTGCACGGCCATTGAAAATCAGATGAAAGGGAAAGAAACAGACGTGGTATCTGCACATCTTGAGGGGTTGCGGGAAAAATTCAAGCTGCACGCATACATTGCGCTCACCGCGACCGCGATACATATGCACCCCCGTTATTCGATACATCACATGCACCACCGCGCTCGTAATCAAATTCCCGTATCGAATGAAAAAAGGTTGTCCCCGATCGCGCTTCACCAAATTTCGATATCACGAGAGGAAAGAATGGAAAATATTTTCGTACGCCGTATTTCTACGTTCGAATCTGTAATGTATGTTGTTACACCTCACGCTGCGCGAAAGTGCGGGCTGAGATTACAGATTTCGCGAATATCGAACTACCCTTTACGAGCGAGATACCATCCCTCTTGAGATCTCACACGAAATCTATTATCTCTTTACTATATATCCTACGACGTCGCGTACTGTTGTTAACTATGCTGGGATAACTTATCTATTTATACTAAAAATCAATTGTTTTGTTTATAGTAAAGAAATGTTATCAGAATTTAAAAATAGCGATACGCAGCTAGTACATCAATATATTGCATGACGTTGAGCGGGCTCTTTAAATATCCGTGGAGAATAAATTTACGCTGACCCTATCTACGCTATTATACACGATGCATACATAGATGTTATCTTGTGCGAAAAAATGTATAAATCGTCTCGAGCTGCTTTCGTCGCTGATGTGTATCTTTGCATATAAACGACATCCTGAAAATCACTTAACGCCGTTTTGCGGCGTTAGTGCCATAACTTTCGTTGCACGAAACAATTTGAAATTATATGCGCGCGATATATCATCGCGTGTCATTGATATGTTCAGAAAAAGATTACATGTATAGGAAACACAATTAAACTTAATTGAAAGTGAAATAATCTACAAAATAATAATGTACCTATCGACTGTAAGAAAGTTTATAATGAAGAAATATTTTGACGGATATAATTATATTCGCGTATTTTTGTCATAATTTTTTAACAATATAAACACATAAGGTATTCTAAATTTATCTAACAATTATTTGATCACATTTCGATAAAATTAGTTTGCTACGCGATGATGTTTTGAAGTAAAGTTTTAAATGCATGATTATATAACATCATGCCTATTGCGCTTGCACATCGTGCGCGCAATTACGTCGGAAATGCTTCAAATTCTAGTAATCTGAAAGCACGTCACGTGTTGGCCAAGTCCCAAGCAAGTTCTAAATCTGTGTGGCCGCTTGCTCGGAAACTAACAAATATAATACGGTAGGCCGAGAAGCGCGTTCGCATGTGCAGGCAAACGCAGAAGGGAGTAAGTGCAACAGAAGCTTTCTAAAAGCGGCGACGACCGTTTGGAACGCGATATGTCGCATCCGCATAGCAATAATACGCAAACGTGTGTTAATTAATAATGCAAATTACAAAAGTAACATTATTTCACAATGTACAAAATTAGGAGTCAAGATCCGAAAAAAAATATATAAGGTAAATGTACCAATGCCGGGACACTTAAGACCTATGTATGGACACCTTTATATCACTTTAGTTTTTAAATAAATATAACGCGAATTGAAATCAAAGATAAAAATATAATACAAGAAAAATATTTTTATTTTTGATTCTTTGATTTTAATTCGCGTTGTAACTTAGGTATTTAAGGATTAAAATGATGAAAATGTCCAGATACATAGGTACGTGTCCAGACATTGGTACATTTACCTTTTATATGTATAATTTGATATAATAATTCAATATATGCGAAAAAATATAAGCTTATTTAAAAATTTATATATTTGCTATCTAAAAACTAAATCGCTGCAGCTGATGGTTTTATGGAGTTTTACTTGAATAATATTTTATTTATTAACGCTTTAATTTAAAACGTATTTGATTTAATTGTTTATAAAAATTATGATATGGATATTTTGTTCTTTACGCTATATAAATATTCCAATATTAAACTTGTTTGAATTAATTTAAATAAATCAGTTTAAATAAATAAGAAATAATACAACAAATACATCAAAGAAAAATAACATATAATTGGATGTATTTAATGCACGTGTACTGCAGTTGCAACACATGTGATTTTTATAATGGCTACAATCAATAAAAATGTAGCGATACAATTTAATAAATGAATTTATTATTTAAATATAATCTTTGTATTTGTGGCTTTCTACGTATTATTTTGCAACATTACATTATGCAATTAATGGACAAAGTTATGTCAGTTTCTAACAGTAAACCTTTTGATATTGATTGATTTTTTTTACAAAAAGATATTTAATGTATTTATAACGGTATAAGAATTCTTTGACTATTGAACTGGCAATTTAATTAAAAAGTCAACACGACGTTTCGACTCTAATTCGAGTTCTTTTCAAATGTATAAATATTCTTACAGAGCAATTCATTTGTCACGATGACAACGTGCATGCTTGTGCGTTGTAAAGAGATAGAACGTGGTCAAATATTAAAAATCGATTGTGTCAGGGAACACGTCTGCACTCCCCGGTGACGAGCAACACAATGAGCAATAAGTAATAAACAATAATTATATTTAAGACAAATAGAGGTTGACTATATAGCCGTTATTAACTTGTCGTACATTGCTGGCAGATTCTCGATGTCGTTTTGGAGGTTGAGCGTTTGATTGTGTTTTTTGATTAAAAACATCTCGGCAATTTCTCTCTTTTTAACATGTTTTTCTTTATGTAAAATTTTTATGTCAGGCCAATTAAAATCATGGTTTAATTCGAGCCGATGTTTACTTATCATCGATTTTTAATATTTGACCATGTTCTATCTCTTTACAACACACAAGCATACACATTGTCGTGACGAATGAATTGCTCTATAAGAATATTTATACACTTGAAAAGGACTCGAATTAGAGTCGAAACGTCGTGTTGACTTTTTAATTAAATTGCCGGTTATAGTCAAAGAATTCTTATACTGTTATTTATTCACTGGCGAAGAAAATTCTCCTCATTGTTTAATGTATTTATCTTATGTATTTATGATGTAAATTGTTATGAATTCCGGCATATGAAACTTAGTAAATATTTTTGACTTGAGAAACGAAACACAAAAGAAGTATCAAAGTGATGATACTGCATGTATAAACATACGTAATACGAATGTAATATGTATTCTATACTTTTTCACATTTTCTATGCATGGAAAGTTCCTGATATTTTCTGAACGATCGCACCAACATGCTACATCGTCACGGAAACTGGCAAGTTTAGCAAGAGCTGCAGATACAATGAATATTTTTTTTGAAATATGTTTCAGTTTTCCGGTTTGATAACAAATATAGCAAAAATATAGAAAAATCTAGGAATTTAGGGACGTGATTCAGGGAAATTTTGCTGGTAATTATTAAATGTTAATGGGAAACGTAAAACATTCAAATAGTTGTAAGACGCAATTAAATATTATATCAAACTCTTATGCGGGGTCTACAATGCGAGTCGCAAGTCGCGAGTCGCAAGAAATTTACCAATCACAGCCGATTATTCTCCTCAAATTCGACTGTGATTGGTTAATTTTCCACGACCCACGACTCGTATTGTAGACTCAGCATTATAAGAGAATCATGTGTCTGAACTTTTACAATTATCTTAAAAGTAAAAACTAATCATATACAAATACAACAAATTATTATCTAATGGTACGTTAATACGCGTGAATTAAATTTCTAAAATAAAAATTTTTTCTTATATTTTTCCAT